TAAAAGTGTTTGTATTCAATATTCTACTTAACAACATTAGGGATATTTCCTGGTGGTGGAAGGCTCTGTCCATTTTTCCATGGCTGATACCTTAATATTCATGAACAACTCCTATGTCATCTTCTGGTCATCCCTGAGAACTCAATCTAAAGTAACACACCACATATACACAAATATCACACCACCCATCATCCATCATCCTGTTTTATTATCTTCATATTTATCTCCGAAATTATGTTGCTCATTTATTTGTACTCTGTAACCCTAGTCCCATCTTCATCTCCTACTTGAAAGTAAATTCTTTGCAAGTGCAGACCTTGTCTTCCTTGTTTCAGGCTAAATACCCAGAGCCTAGAACAATGCCTGGTATCCAGTGGATACTCACTAGTTACCAAATGATAGATTGCATCTATTCCAAACTCTGTTTCTGCCACTAAGAAGTGCCAGATCTGGAAATCAAACAAATATTTGTTATTAAAGTCTGTCTCTTACAGAATCTGTATCACCCACTAATTACGTATTTTCCTAGCACTCTTTCATTACCACATCCCTTTTCTTATCTGTTCTATTTTCTGCATTTGTTTTGGTCTTCATTCTACTCACAGCAGCAGAGCGAAATACTGAATATAGAGCATTGAAGAAGAAAAAAAAGTTCCTAATGCTAATAAAAACCAAGCCTTTGCCACCTAAAGTAGGGAGGGCAGCCAAGCAAAGCAGTGCTTAAGGGCAAAAGCCCTTAGGATCATCCATTAGTGAAGCTCTGATGGGCAGCATCAAAAGGAATTATGGAGGTAGCCAGCCTGTGACCTGAAGAGTAGCACATGCCCTGTGGACACTAAGCAGTTCTCAAGAAACTTTAATGGGCAAAAGATTCCGATGCAGCAGGTCTCTAGTGAGATCTGGAAATCTGTGCTTTCAACAACCCGATTCTGATACAAGTAGGTAGTGTTTGGAAACCTTAAACTCTTAGGCCAAAGATGCATACCAAGGGCCCAAAGGATGGTATTACCAGGTATTTGGTCCAACCAACACAAATATGTTTTTATCACTACCCTGAAGCTGACTCACAAGACAAGTGAAATTTCATTTCAATATTTGCTGAAAATTATAAACTCATTGGTTTTTAACTGTATTTTTTTTTTTTTTTCACATTAAAACTGTAACAATGGCTACTGCTTATAGGGCAAGGAGCTCTGGTGGCAAGATAGTTAAGAGCTTGGCCCAAAGGGTAGGTGGTTCAAATCCACCAGCTGCTCCACGGGAGAAAACACAAGGTAATCTGCTTTCACAAATATTCCAGCCAAGAAAACCCTATGACACAAATCTACTCTGTCCTATAGGGGCACTGAGTTAGAATCAATTTGACACTAACAACAACTTCTTATGGGGCAGTGTTTATGTCCTAAATGCTGTCATCAGTGATTTACATATGTGTATTACCCTGTTTTAGAAAATATTGCGCTTCAGTAATGTCCGTACCTACAGCTATGAAGGAGTGACAGATTTAGAAATCAAACAGATCTGTCTGTTACTAAAGTCTGTGCCCTATGGAATCTGTATCTCCCACTAATAATACATAATTAGGAATAAAACCAGTAAGTTTGTAAAGGAAGGAAGGAAGATTTTTTTCTTTAATGTAAACATTCCTGACTTTAGAGATTGCATGGAATTTCTTTACATGGTGAACTTTTGACTTGGCAACCTCTGAAAAAGAAAACAATCTTATTTTCTAAAAGAAATAATCAGAATCAAAAGGACCTCTGGCGGTGCAGTGCCTAAGGCATCTGACTGCTAACCAGAGGGTTGGTAGTTCAAACCCACCAGCCACTCTGCAGAAGGAAGATGGGGCAATCTACATCTGTAAAGATTTACTGCCTCAGAAACCCAATGGGGGTCGCTATGAGTTGGAATTGATTCAATGAGAGTGGGTTTTGATGGTTTTAATCAGAATCAAAGTGTTCGAGTGGCACGATGGTTAAAGCACTGGGGCGCTAACCAAAAGTCTGAAATCTGAACCCCAGCAGCTCCACAGGACAAAAGACCTGGCAATTTACTGCTGTAAAGATTACTGCCTGGAAAACCCTATGGGGCAGTTAGTTCTACTCTGTCCTATATGGTCACTATGAGTCAGAATCAACTTGACAGCACACACGATGATCAGAATCACCTAACATTAAGGGCTGGTTCACTATTTACAATCTAACAGTGGCTCACAAATGAGGCTGATAATAAAAAAATTAACTGGAAAACATCTTAAAAATAAAAAGTCCAGGACTCACTTCAGTTCTTCTAAATCAGAATCTTTGAAATGGGATGCAGACACTACTTTTTTAATTGTTATTTGGGTGAAAATTTAGAGCAAATTCATTTTCCATACAGTTCATACACATTGTTTCATGACATTGATTGCAATCCTCACAATCGAACAGCTCTCTTCTCCTTGTGGCTACTTTTTCCATGTCCATCTTTCCCATGCATTCCTGCCCCGAGCTATTTCCCTGTGCAAACACTGCCCTTCTGATCTCCCATGATTGACTGTTCTGAGTGTACCTATATGCCTAGCGTTTGGCTGGAAGCCACAGATGTGAGTTCAGTTTCAGGCTGGAACAATGACTAACGGCCATAGTCCTGGGGGTTTCACCAGCCTCTATCAGACCAGTAAGCCTGGTCTTTTTTGATTTTGAGTTTTGTTCCAAATTGTTCTCCCACTCTATTCAGACTCTGCTACACTGATCCCTTTCTGAGTGGTTAGCAGTGGTAGCTGGGCACCATCTAATTCTTCTGGTCTCATGGTCATATAGGCTGAGGTTCACACAGTCCACTAGTCCTTTGGATTAACTGTTTCCATGCATCTTTTCTTCATTCTTCTTTGCTCCAGATGAGGAGAAACCAATTGTTGCATCAAGTTGGCCACTTGCAAGCTTTTAACACCCCAGTTGCTACTCACCAAAGCAGGATGGAAAACAATGTTTTTAGGTAGTATGTAATGCCAATTGAGCTTGATGTCCCCTGCAACCATGGTCTTGAGCCCACAGGTCCAACAACTCACTCCCTCAGGGTTGATGGCTGTGGCTAAGAAGTTATCACAACTTTGTTCCATCAGTTCTATTTATACAAACCTTCTTACAGCACATACAAATATGCATGAAGAAATATCATCCATCAGCCTTATATACGGTCATAGGTATATTCCTTTTTGACTAGATAATTTGTCTAGGAAATTTTTACTTTTTAAGGCTCCCCAGTGGCTTGATGAGTATCCAGGGTTCAGGACCATCCTTACCCTAAACCCAGCATTCTACAAATGCATAAACTGAAGACCTAAGAGACTAAATTCTATTCAAATATATATAGCTTGTAAGTTACACAGTAGGCTGAAAAAACAATATGCTGACTCCCCATTGGGTGCTTTTTACAATTCAAGCTGCTAATTTTTTTTTTTTTTGTAAAACTGTACTTACTTCTGCTCTGCTGCTTATATCCTGTTGATTACTAGTGTGTGCATTTGTGCAATGTAGTCTCTCATCTGCGAAGATGGAAAAAGAATAGTGTCTACCTCTTAAGAGCTGTTGTGAAGATTAAGTAGAATATTTGCTAAGCAATGCACCAACACAGTGCCTGGCATATAGTGAGTGCTTGCTAGTTGGGTACCTAGCCCACTAAAACCAAAACGTACCTATCTCAACTGGAGAGGATTTACTGAACCAGCCCAATTTAAAAACGAACAAGAAACGTACATTTAGTTTAGACGTCCAAAAGGACTTTTTAATTCAGGGCTAATTTTAAAATCGTGGTATCTAATTTTTTTTCCCATCATGATCTGCTTATGTGAAAAATTAATTCACTTCACTAATAAAAATGAGTCGAAAATGACGGTCAAAAGCTTGTCTGAGGATGCCTCAAAATCCCGCAGTGAATCAATCTCCGGATGATGACCAGCAACTGCATTTTTAAAAAGCCCCTTCCGCTATAACCTGGTGTTTCTTAAGTAAACCAAGGTTTGATAACCACTAGCATTCAGAATCCTTGACAACAGCAAACAGTCTCTCAAGTCCTCCCAGCAAAAGACTGTCGTGCGATGTGACCAGAAGAGCAGCATCATCAGACCCTGATGCAAACAACAGCTGGGCCCGGCTGTGCAGAGTAACAGTGGTGATAACCAGGGAAGGCTCCGACCCTCTCACCTCCTAAGATACAGAAAATTACGAAAGCGCCGTCTCTCAACTTCCATGGCAGACAGTGCTGCCCAGACGATCACGAGAAACCAACGTTTATTCAACAATCTTCTCAGGAGAGCGGGCAGAAGAAGGCGACCCCGGCAGCTGAAAAGGCCAAACGGCGCCAAAAGGTTAACGATCCTCTTGCCCTGTTCCTTGTAATAGCCAAATACCTCCACACGCCATAACCCAGCTGCCGGAAGTGCGTCAACCAGCTTGACGAGGATGCCGGGAGTTGTAGTTAAGTGGCTACTTCGGTTGCAACCAATTCACCTTTTTTCAGACAAGCACACACATACCGTGGAACACAAAAAAAGGCCGATTTATTCTCAATATGTCTACTGTTCCTTTCCCATTCCAAGTGACAAAAGGAACGCTCACAAAGTCAATACGGAATCTCGGACTACAAATCCCAGCATGCTCTGCAGGGCACCTGGGGCTCCCGGCCACCGTCCTAGGTACGGGCCGCTTGAATGGAGCGTGGGGCGTAAGGCAAAGCCTGGTACCGTCCGCCCGTCCGGTACCTGCTCCCGGAGTGTGAGTGCGGGGAGTGGGCCGTGCGCTTGCGCGCTCGGAGAGAACGCGAGGCGGCGCGCCAAGCGGTTGCGGGCGCTTGGCTGCTGAGGTTGGCAGCAGCGGCGCCGCGCGCCCGGGCCAATAGTTGCGGGGCCTCCCGCCTCGCCCCGGGCTGCGGGCAGCCTGGCGGCCGCCGGGGACCACAAACAGCGGAGGAGAGCGGGGGGCGGAGGAGGAAGGCCCCGGAACGCGGAGGAACAGAAGAACATGCCCCGAGACAATATGGCCTCCCTGATCCAACGGATCGCCCGCCAGGCGTGCCTCACCTTCCGGGGCAGCGGGCGCGGCCGCAGCGCTTCCGACCGCGGTGCGGCGCCAGGCCCGGAGGCGGCGATGCCGCCGGGCTTCCCGGAAAACCTGAGCAAACTGAAGAGCCTGCTGACCCAGGTTCGCGCCGAGGATCTGAACATCGCCCCACGCAAGGCCACGCTGCAACCACTGCCGCCCAACCTGCCACCAGTCACCTACATGCACATCTATGAGACCGACGGGTTCAGCCTCGGCGTGTTCCTACTCAAGAATGGCACGTCCATCCCGCTGCACGACCATCCAGGCATGCACGGCATGCTTAAGGTTCTCTACGGCACTGTGCGCATCAGCTGCATGGACAAGCTGGAGGCGGGCAGTGGGCAAAGGCCGCGGGCCCCTCTGCCTGAGCAGCAGTTCGAGCCGCCGCTGCAGGCTCAAGAGCGGGATGCCGTTCGGCCAGGCGTAATGCGCTCGCGGGCCGAGTACACTGAGGCCAGCGGACCCTGCGTCCTCACCCCTCACCGGGACAACCTGCACCAGATCGACGCAGTGGACGGCCCCGCCGCCTTCCTGGACATCCTGGCCCCGCCCTACGACCCCGACGACGGCCGAGACTGCCATTATTACCGAGTGCTGGAGCCCGTCGGGCCCAAGGAGGCCTCCGGCTCGGCTTGTGACCTGCCCCGAGAGGTATGGCTCCTGGAGACCCCGCAGGCTGATGACTTCTGGTGCGAGGGGGAACCTTATCCAGGTCCCAAGGTCTTCCCTTGAAGCCGCTGGCGCCCGGGAGCGGTGGCCTGAAGACGTTCCCCATCCCTATCTGGCCCTGGCTACCGGCCACCCACCACAAGGGCTCTCTCCCTAACCCCCGCTTTGGCATTGGATCTACTAAGTAACGGGCAGTAGTCGCTTCTTCTGGAGTCTTGGGAAGCGCTGGCGATTGGACTGCAGCCACCGGGCACGGTTACGGGGGCGGGTTAGGCGGGGAGGCAAGATTTCCTGGCTCTGTCACTGCCACCAGGATTTTGATTTGGGGGAGGGGGGGCAGGGAACTATTTGAAGCGCTTCCATCCTAAAGCCATAATGAAAATATCTTTTCCCTGTTCCTCACCCAAATACAAAATCAATTCAAAATACACTAAGTAGGGTTTTTTTTTTTTAATCCTTCAGTAAATAGGGTTTAATTTTCACTTACGCCCTTTTGTCCTTATCCTTATTGTTATAGTTTTAATTTATTGACTGCATGAGTCAGTAGCTTGAGTTGTTTTTGATTCAAGTCATTGGTAAAAACCAAGTTTAAGACATGAGCTATTGTTTAAAGCCACCTGTCTTACTTATTTGATTCGTTGTGAAAAATCCTTTTGCAGAGTTAGGGGAATCACTCTCAAAACACAACTATGCATGCAGAAGACACGATTTCTTTCCTCACTAACCCAGTAGCCACATCTGGTTTACTTTAGCAGCATCTAAGAAATTCAGCACCTGTGTATCTCAGTACAAATGGTCACCTAAAGCTTTTCTTTCCCATCAGCCTCCAGATCTGACTTGAGCTGATCTGTTTCAGATTCTCCTTTAATGCAAAGACTATATTATCCTCAAATGACTTTTTTTTCCTTCAAAGTACTTTTAAGAGTCTATAGGACAATTCAGTATTTTCTAACCAGAAGATTTGAAGATGTTGAATCAGTTACGCTTCCAAACTGAATGTAAAACACCCCTAACCAGCTGTTGAATTCAGTATCTTTATTTACTTACGGTATTTCCTGCAAAAGTAGAGAAAAATATGTTGAGGAATGTTTCGCATTCTCTCAGGAACGCCAGTGTTCCAGAGGGTTGGTGGGTCCAGCTGTGTGTTGCTAGCAGTGTTGGCTCTGAACCCTTCCAAGAGGAGAGCGTAAATACTTGCTTCATCTAATTTGGTTTTCTATAGGAACGGATAAAAGACACAGATGGTCAAGCCTGGAAAATTGAGAATAAGCTATACTACTAGGCTTTCAGGAGCTCTGGTAGCATAGTGCCTAAGGCACTTGACTGCTAACCAGAAGGCTGGTGGTTCAAACCCACCAGCCCCTCCTCCTCGGAAGGAAGATTGGGCAATCCTACTTCCATAGTGATGTTGTTGTTGTTGTTATGTGCTGTCGAGTCAAACCCGACTCATAGCGACCCCTCCTTGGGTTTCCGAGGCAGTATCACTACGGAAGTAGGATTGCCCAACCTTCCTTCCAAGGAGTGGCTGGTGGGTTTGAACCGCCAGCCGTCTGGTTAGCAGGAAAGTGTCTTAGCCACTATGCTACCAGAGCTCCTGCCTGGGAAACCAAAGAGGGGTCGCTATGAGTCAGGTCTGACTCCATGGCACATAACAACAGTAGTCATTCAGGCACCAGAAGTTGGAAGTAAACACTTCCTAGGCACTTGACTGCTAACCAGAAGGCTGGCAGTTCAAGCCCATCAGCCACTCCTCAGAAGGAAGGTTGGGTAATCTATTGATACTGCCTCAGAAACCCAAGGAGGGCTTGAGTCAGGCGGACTCCAGGGCTCATAATAACAACCCCTTGAAATGACCAATTGTTCTATCTGTTGACTACTTTTATTTTTGTCCTTTTAATAGGCTAATCAACTTCACCTTGTTGACAAATGTATTGACACCATTTGCTTCAGGACATGGAGCACTATTGTTTCCCTCTTTTTACTATTTATAGGATTTTCTTTTTCACAAAACTAAAAACAAATTGTGAAAATAAACACATCAAGTGGGCCAGCAGTCATCTAAGCCCACTTGATTAACTTGCCCAAGTGGCAGTGGAGTTCCAATATCTGAAATAAAGGGAGATTGCTATTGTGGAAAGCATTTGTTGACCCTGTAAGGGAATAGTATGTGCCTTTGCCTCTTTATGCACACTGGATTACACAGGCTCAGGGTGAAGGATTTTTTTTTTTTTTTAAAGATTATTTAATGTGATATGCCATTTATCTTACAAAACCTGACAGAGGTATAATACATGCCTACTGCCAAGCATTTTCTCCTGAGTTACAAAAACTTTTATTGTAGCTTCACATTCTTGGTGTAGTTTAATATGTCTTGGGGGCAGTTTGAAGCAATTCTGCCACTCAAGCTTGAAAATAAATTCTGAATATGCAAATTATGATAGTCTTAGAAAAGTGTTGCCAGAATAAAATATCACATTTTTCTTTTGTAGCACATTAATGCATGTGTATAATTAATCAACTGCATTACCTATCTTTTTATTTATATTGTAGCAAAAAAGTTGATAAACTTACAAGGGTTGTTACATTAATGTTATGTGTTCTACAACCTGGAGCACATCAAACTAACCCACAAAAACTCATGCTGACAGTAGATCAATAACAAAGGAAGAACTGTTCCAAATTCATTATGAAAAAAATTTTAGAGTACTTAATTACAGGCAATTTGGAGGGGAAAAAAATCTATGGTGCTTTTCAAAAGAATAATTGAAATTTGTAGGCTAAAACAGCAATATGATCTTTTAGTTCAATAAGAACATTGAAACTTGTTTCACTAATAAATTCTGAGTAAATCAGTGGGGAAAATTAAATGTAATTGTTTTAGTGGGCCACTGAAGGAAAGATTATTCTCTCTACAGAGAGAGTGTGGTGCAGAGAACCTTGCCACTCTATGCATACACTGTGAGTCATGACTGACTGCACGTGCTGCTCTATATTTCCGTGTATTCCTGCAATATAGACTTAAGTTTTGGTAACAACTGGGATAAAAGCTACCTTCCTGTAGGAGAGACTAATGAGCACAATGATAGCAATCACTTTGAACTTTTCTGTTGAATAACATGCAATAATTGCCTCTCATGGGTGAGAAACTGTATAAATACTCCTAAACCTTTTTAATTTTCTAGTTATATTAATGATCAGCTCTATCAATGAAAGACAGTATTGTGTACCTACCTACTATATAAGAATTGATTTTTACTAAGCCTGATCTTGCATGTATTGAGTGGACACAACTGCTGTTTTATTAATGAAAATCATGGCCTACTTTTCAAGTAATACATGTTTTGTAAACAGAAGTGAGTTCTCTGACCCTTTCACACTAATAACCCTTAACTTCTCCCAGAATGCATACCTTCTGTTCCCCCTTTTGCATGTTCCCACACGGGTGCCTCAGTCTTGGCATCTCAGAAGGACTCTGTCCTAATTCATCTGTTCCTGAATCTTGTACTCTTATCTAGTTCTGCTGCCCAAAGAAGCAGCAGTATATCTTTAATTCACGGCCTTGGCCATTGCTATTCAACTCTAACCTGAGGGTAGCACCACTCCTGTAACTGCTGATCTGGATCCGGAACTTCAGGTTACACGTAGAAGCCGACCACTGATCACTTCCAGTGCAGTGAGGCATCTACTGTCAAAGAAGGAAACCGTTTGTAAGTCCCACATAGATACTTGCTCTTCAAAACCAGGAATGTTTTCCATTTCCTGGGTTACAGTCATTCAGTGTACTTTTGGAAAATAAAGACATGTTTGAAATTGTGTAGAGGTAGATCTTATTTGATTATTGCAAAATGGAGAGGGAAAATATTTGATGTCTGTGTTTTGATTGTTGAAGGTTCACAGTCTGTATGGTAAGATTATGTTACACTGAAAACTGGTGGCTTGCAAATTTCTAATGTCCAAGAATATAAATTTAAAAGTAGTTGTTTATTTCCTTGAGAGTGAGCTTTGAAACATTCTAAGTGAAAACACATTGGAAACTAAAGCCTAACCATACTGTTCTGCCACAACAGAAAAAAGCTCCCTATACATTTAAAGGAAAATACAGTGCAAGGAAACACAGAGATTTCAATCCTAATAGAAAACAATCTTAGGACTTAAATATTTCTTGTCTTTTTTTCTGTGGAACTTTTTTAGTTATTTAACGTAACATCTTACTATCTTGCAGAACTTGACACAGGCATAATATATGCCTGTACTTAGACTAGCAACATTTTTGTTGATGCTGACCATTTTTTCCCTCAAAAAAAAAAAAAAAAACATGCTGGACTGTTACAACATCGCTGAAACCATTTTTTTAAATATATGAAAACAGTTTGCCTTAATTTTGTTAGCAGTTAGGAAACTAAAATTTCCAAACCTCATTTAGGAGCACTTAAAAACCTTACTTAGATTTAATATACCTATTTTTAATGTGCACTGAGCCATCTCAAAAGCATTATGAATCTTTAAGGAATTATTTGCTAGAAGTTACTTTTTAATAGCTCCCAGTAACAACTGAAACAATAATACTCAATAAAGCATATGTAAGAGATTAAAAGGAGCAGGCTTATGTTGAATTTCTTGAGTAAGGTGAAAAAAAAATAGACACCAGCAAAAAGGACCCCAAAGGTGTCAAGCACAGCAAAATCTGATGAGAGATAGTGACCTAACATGTTGGAATAAGAGGGTGAAAGCCACAAGGTTTGCTCTGAGAAAACACTGAGGGGTGATGGTACTTATGGTATGTTACTGCCACCGCAACAAGCCCACGTCCAGGTGAAAGCAGTTATGTAACTGATTGGGCTTTTATCAATCTTACTGTAAAAATGGCTGTTACTCTATAGCTTAGTAAACAGTTTAGATTTTCTTGATTGGTGGTGCTCTGACATTAAAATTTGGCAAAATGATAAAAAATTGGGGTACTGTATTTTAATATAATGGAATCTTGGGTAGAAGAGAAATAGTCATTAAAAACAGAACTATCAAAATGTGTTACTGTTTTGTACATACTTTATCAAAATGGACCA